GGATAGAGGTCTCCTTCATTGTTTCACTTTTGTTTTTATTTATTTATTTAATGAACAAAATATCCCACTTAATCTGAGGGGTTGATTGGTACTGAACAAATCCCTATTTGCTCTCTCTATCTCTGTTCGTCTCTATTCTTCCATCTCTCTCTTCAGTACTCTCGCCTCCCCCACTCTCACCACAAGAACCCCTGTCTCCCAACTCTCTGTTTCTCTATTGGTGAATTTTCTATTGGTGAATTTTGTCTGAGAAAGGCACAAATTGGTGAATTTGGTATTTTCACAAGCTTTTGGCTTACTATAAAATTTAAAATAAATAAACAAATAAAAAATACAACTAACAAATTAAAGTTGTTCGAGTGAAGATATTCGTCTTCCAACAATCAAATCAGTAATATGCGCTTAGTTTTTAAAAAAATGAAAATGGAATTTGGTAATAGTATTTGGTGATTGTTTATTCCCTCATTTTTTCCCGACTCTCATTTTATGCAATTGTGTGTCATCATTGATTGTCATTTCTCATAGCACAGTGCTGCTCATCATCCAAACGTCAATCAAGTTTGATTAGTAAAATGGCTTACTAATTTCTGATGGCTCCTTATTTTATCTCATCGTCAATATTCTTTGATTGTGGCTTTTGTGCTTCTCATCCTAACAAGTCTAGTTGGCACACCTTTCATTAATCTTGTTCCGCTGGACCTTCATTTGATCCAACCTATTCTTACAAGTCTAATTTTACTGTTCTTTATTTTTTTTTTTTCAACCACAATTTGATTCGTATATGTAAATATCAGAATTCTTAATTCAATCACTCATAGATATTAATGCTTGGATTTTGAATTTATGAAAGGGCAAAAAAAAAAAGAAAAAAAAAGTGCAATTTAATCTAATTGTTCAAAACAGAGTACTTTAATCACTGAAAAGAAAGTAGTGCCAACAGCATAAGTCTTTTGTGTTAAACAAAACCCAAAAAATATGAAGAATCAACAACAACCATTTTTCTAATAATATAACAAAATCTATATGGATTCTTGTCTTATTGGGTGTGTGGGTTAAAGGAAAAGTAGGAGTTGACAAACTAAAAGGTCTCCCTAAAATTTACTCATTTCCCTAAAAGGAGGGAAAAAGAAAACCCCCTCAAAAGTTTATGTTTGTTTAGAAGGAAAAATTAGATGCTACTTTCCCATATATATATATATATATATATCTTTCCAATCATCATTTGCCACATCAATATATATAGATTCAAGTGTTTTAGGGAGTGTTTGTTTCAACTTTTCAGAGCTAACTTATGACTTTTAGTTTTGAAAAAGTTATTTTGGAATGTTTGGTTAAACTTATTTCAAATAGTTTTTGATTCTAACAGTTTATTTTAACTCAAAAAAACTGATTCTGAAAAGCTACTCACCCTTTGCTTCTGATTATCAGCTTCTGTTGTGGACATGTTAATTTATGGTTATACTCTTAAATTTTTTATTTTTATTTTTTTAAAAATAGAAAAAGACCCAAATGGACTATAGATTATTATTATTATTTTTTATGAGAAATGTAGACAAACAAAAAATAAAAATTAATTGAAAACGCTATTTCACAGCTTATTTAACAAACAATACTCAGCAATTAAGCTTCTCCTCCCCCACTCAAAGAATAAGTTAGTTTTTGACTTACAAAAAGCTATAAGCCATATTGGCCCTGTTTGGTAGAGCTGTGGGAAAGTGCTTATAGCTTATGCCTAAACAGCTTATAGCTTATAACTTTCAGCTTAAGCTGATTTCCAGCTTATTCTTAAAGCATCTCCTGCCCCACTCAAAGAATAAGCTGTTTTCTGACTTCCACAAAGCTATAAGTTATAAGCTATAAGCTAAACAAAACACATCAAAATAGCTTAAATTAAGCTGAAAGCTGAAATAAGCTGAAATTAAGCTGTACCAAACAGGGCCAATGTATAAACTGTTTTAACAGTTACACCAAACGGGGCCTTAGTCACTTATATTAAGTTTTATTTACTCACTTTTTAACTATTTCAACTCCGGAAAAAGCCAATAACAATTATTGATTTAGTTGATAAAAAAAAAAAAAATTTTCATATATATATATATTAACATTTAACAAATGTATTAATTTTTTAATATTTATTTTTTTAAAAAATATTAAAAATGCACTAAAAAATATTTGCCAACCCATTTAAGAATAGAAAACGGTTATCAAAAAAAAAAAAAAAAAAAAAAACGTATAAGTGTGGTTTTGTTAAACAATATTGTATAACATAAGAACCAAAAGGTTTTAGTATTGAGACAGGTTTTTATTTCATGATTTTCTTGTAATAATGTGTGTTTTTTTTTTCCCCATGGTTAGACATATTAGAAAAATATATAATTCAATAGCTAGAATTAAAATTAAAATAAAATGACATTAAAATTGTGTGCGCTAAAATCTAACGACATAACCAATTAAGATTCGAGAAGATTACTTCCTCTTAAATATCTGAAAACGAAAAAAACGATGAATCGAGATGTATCCACTGAGATATAAGCTTGAGAGACTGAAGTTAGTATCTGTCCTAATTAGTCGTCAACCGAGAAGACTGATATTAAAGTCAATAACAACTCACTAATGATCTATGCACAAAGAATATTGAAATACACAAATTCACACTTACATTTTGGCTGGTGCCCTACTGTCATCTTCCTAATTAAACACATTCATTAGGACTCTACCTCTTGGCCTGATATCTTGGCCAAATACATGCCAATATCATTATGCAAGATATTTAAATCTCACTTAAAATTGTGACTCCACAAGAATCATACATTCTAAAATGATATACTTTTACTTTAATATTAAACATAAATTATTTAATTATAACAACAAATCTATTGCAAAAAGATTCATCACAGATAATCTATGATTATTTACTAATTTGGTATATTGCTGTATCACACACACATATAATATATATTCCTATAAGGTGTGATGTCCACCGTAAGCTTTGCCATCGATGCGGCATCACATTCTTATTTGTAGACAATTGGGCCCCACCTCATTTAACAAAGCGCCGCAAAGTGTATTTCGAGTCTCCACCTAACAGCAACACAGTTGTGCAAAAGAGAAAAAAAAAATTATAATTTTTTAATTGTAATATTTAATATTTTTGAAGACAAATAATTTGAAAAAAAAATCAAATAAACTAAAGGAAAAATCTTAAAATGTAATTTCAACCAAAAAAATTTAATTTTAAAATTTGTTGGAGAAGTTATCGGTATGTCTAATTTATAACGTGTTGAGTCTATAATTTTATCTAAAGCATATGAGAAGAAGTAAAAGAAAGTAATTACACATCACATAAAATATAAAGAGATTTTTAGTTTAAGATCCTTAATATTAAGATTTTGTAAGATAAAAACATGTAATATTTTTATAATAGTTTGGGTCCTTTAACATTTTTATGAAGAAATTTCAACACAAAGAAATTTCAGCACAGAGAGAAATTTCTCTGGGAAATTTCATAGAGAAATTTCAGCTTCACAGAGAAATTTTAAAAATTTTATAAAGAAATTTCAGCTTATCACAGAGGAACTTGTCACAGAGAAAGCTAGAATTTCTCTCATAATATTACTAAGGGATCTTAACTAATAAAAAAATATATATATATTAAATCTCTTCTATTACTAAAAGTTGAAGAGGGATATTTTACTAATTTTTCCCAAATATAAATCGAATTCAATAGTTAAAACCATGAAAAGTTGTATGCTCTAGTCAAACATTGAAAGTTGAGTATCATCAAATTAAAACAAAAATAATTTAATCATGTAATATTAATATTGATCAATTTTTTGTTTGTTTGTTAATTTCTATAATAAATGTAATTGAATCATGTAATATTGATTTATTCAGCGATTTTTACAATATATATATATATATGGCAAATTTTACTTTTCCCCTATGATTTGAGTTATGTGCAGTTTATCCTCTATCGTTGAGAAATAATCACATAATCTCTTTGTAATTTGTGGACTAAAGTGCACTGTTAGGACGTTAACTATTTAATAAAAAGAAATTAAAATATCCCTATATTTTCGTCATTTATTTGGAAAGCAAGTGCACTTTAATCTTGTGTACTTTATCTTATGTGCAATCTACCCCTATTGAAATTTGAAAATGAGTATATAACTCCCTTATGTTTGTCATGTGTTTTACACTTACTATTAAATTAGACGGAATGTTTAATCGTGTTTAATGATACACTTTAGTCCACAAATCATATAGGGATTACGTGATCATTTTTAAACATTAGGGAAACAAGGGGTGAAGTGAAATTTGCCCCCAAAAAATACATGCCTATTTGGTCCATTAAAATTATCACATTAAAAAATAAAAATATTCAAATGTGAGATCATTGGTCACATGCTCTCATCAAACAGTCCAAATTGAATATCATCAAATTGAGACAAAGGAAATTTAATTATGTAGTTTTAATACCTGATTAATTTGATATTTTTGTTAATTTTTAAGATAAATATAATTTAATTATATAATATTGATATCTTTACATTAATGTTGTATTTAATATAGTTTTACAAAATGAACAACACGTATTCTTATGATAAATATAAAAATAGATAAAAATAAAAATCATATCTTTTTTTATTATTATTATTTATAATAATTTTGTTGGAGAAATAAGGAAGAACCAGTTTTGGACTTACTCTGTGCTTTGTGGAGTAACAAACAAAATTCATCATGAATGCGAGACTTGATGAGCACCAAATAATGAGTGGCAAACAAGAAAAAGCAAAGGTAAGAGAGAGAAAAGGTGAGAAAATGAAGGAAAAGTTCATATGCTTTTTGGCCCATTTCTCTTTCAGACTTCCACCCAAGAATTCCAGTTTAGCAAAGAGCAAAAACAAAAACCTCCCAGTTCCCTAAGCCCACAAATTCTTGATTATTCCTATATTCATCAGACTAATGTCAATGGTAATAGATTGGACACCTGAACTTCACTTTCAAGTTAATGGGTATCCATCAATCATCACAAATACATAAACAAATGATTGAGAAAGAGAGATATTTTCCCTCTCACAAATTTGGGATTATTCTTTCTTGTTTTCAGTAATATTCTGAATTTGCACTTGTGGGTTTTACTTTATTTATGTCCATTGCCTGCCAGCATATAGATTCTCTCTCTCTGTTGCAAATCTAGAGCCCGTGAATGCATGAATGTGCTCTGCGATTTCTCTGCTTTGATTCTCTCTGCTACTCATAGAAAGATTTCCTGCTTGTCATTTTCTTTACCTCTCCTTTTCATGGATGCTCTCTTTTTTGGGGGGTTTTAGGTGATTTTAGGCATAATGCACATCCGGGTACTCATAGTCATAGATAGTGTTACATGTGCACACAATTTATTCCATTTTCAATCTACTCATTTGGGTATAAATAGAGATTGTCATCTGGGTATTCTTCATTGCAGTACATCTTCTACTTCCTTGCATTAGGTGGTCTAATTTGTGCACTTCCTCGAAGGCAGGACAATGAGTCGAACAAGCTCTTCAACGGGTTCTGGTTAGTTTTATTTCTTCTTGGCTTGGGTTTATGTTTTGTGGATTCCTATTTGTTATCTTAATCATTCAATTGTTCAAGTGGGTGGTTTTCTTATTCTATCGAAAATTTGAGTCAAATTATAGTTAGGGCTGCAAATGAGTTGAGTTGACCTAAGTAATAAGTTGTTCAAAAGTTTGAAAACTTACCCAGCTTTAAAATGTGTTCAAAAGCTTGGGTTGTTACATAACTTGTCAATCTCAAACGAGGAAGCTCGAATAGTTTGATTTTTTATAGTGCATATAGGCTTACCAAGCTGAATAGAAGGTTGTTCAAGCTTGGCTTGAAAATTTAACAAGCCAAACATGAGTCAAGTTCGAGGAGCTTAGTTCGTTTTGCAGCCCTAATTATAGTTGGATGATGATGATTTTTTTCGGCCATTGAAGTTAAGTTTCTATACTTCAAACTTGTATGATTTTTGGAACAATGATTTTGTTGCTACAAATGTTAGGTAGCAGAACAACTAGAAGGACAGTTGAATTTGGAAGGACATATGTGGTGAAGCCAAAAGGGAGACACCAGGCTACAATAGTCTGGTTGCATGGCCTTGGCGATAATGGCTCGAGGTAGAATTACTCCTTTTCCACTCTTAATATCTTTTTTGGGTATTTGTAGGGCTGATCTTTAGCATTCTTGAGATCAAAACTTAAGGATGTACATTCTTTATTACTTATTTGAATCTTTCATTTTTCCTGTTTGACATGATGAGAAAAAAAGAGCATATTGTCAGCAAAGATCCCTGTTCAAGAAACTCTGCCTACCAGTATCCTCATTTGAGACTTGAAAATCTCTCCCTTTCTTTTTTTTTTTCTTTTTCTTTTTAAATTTTTTTTTGTTGTTGGAGATATTGATAATCTAGATCATTTCCCCGATCAGTCGGCCTGTTGCTTTTAGTTTTCAATGTTAAATATTTTCAATGTCACTGTTGAATTATACTTGTCATATTATTATAGTGGGCCCTGTTTCAATTCGAAAAGTTTATTTAGTGAGTTTTGTTAGTTTGCATAGCATTTTTCACTTTTCACTGTGATTCTAATTTTGAATGAGCCGATGTGAGAAAGCAGTGGCACCTTAAAATTATATATAACTTAATTTCTTTCTGCGATGATTTCTTTTCTCATTCGATTCTAGGCTTAATTAGAAAACCTTGAATTAGCATTGGAATTTATGCACAATGCTTGATTGGGGCCCTTAGTTCACTATCTTGTTTCTCTTGGCTGCTGAGAAACAAGTTAACCTTTTCACACAGAATATTCTGACTGAAGTAAAATGAATTTTGTTAAAAAAATTTCCTTAGTCCCCACTATGCCGTGATGAGCACAATTCTCTAATTCAAGGAAAAATTGGCTGCATTCCTGCAACTTTGCACAGTTTTCTTATGCTTTCTTCACTTGGGATTCTGCTTTCACTTAATTATTGTGGTCCCAATATTAATTACATAAGCAATTAAGTGTTTGCACAATGAAGTGTCTATTTCTTTTATTTGCTAAAATAATGGTTGTTCAGACCTAGGAAAGAGACATTCTTGTTTTGTGGATTGATTATCGTTATATGTTTATTAACAGTGTCAACAATTTTAGAGTTCTATACAATTGAGACATGGTTCCTCATTCTGTGCTGTGTTTGTTATTGCAGCTGGTCCCAACTCTTGGAAAAACTTGCTCTTCCAAATGTAAGGACAAGTATCCCTTGAAATATTTTTGAACTTTATGCTTAGCCTCGTGACCATGCACATGTATATGGTTCTTTAATTTTTGCAAAACTTAGTTGGTACTTATCATTTGTTTATGCTGAAATTCTATGATGCAGATCAAGTGGATATGCCCATCTGCTCCTACTCGCCCAGTGGCTATACTTGGTGGATTCCCTCGCACTGCATGTAAGATTAAAGCTTAGATTTCTTCCGATGTTGAGATACTGACACAATTATCTAAAAGTGCTTTTGTGGTTTCCTATTAGGGTTTGACGTGGGAGAACTTTCAGAAGATAGTCCTGATGATTTTGAAGGTTTAGATGCTTCAGCAGCGCATATTGCAAACTTGTTGTCAACAGAGCCTGCTGATAGTAAGTTTCTGCCTTGCTACTTCATTGATTATAGGCCATTAAATTACTTAATTTCCATGTGTTTAGTAGCTCATTTATCTATCATGACAAAAACTTTCATCAACTATCATGAATAAATTACCACCGTGTTGTTTAGGAATTCTATGTTTTTTCATTTATTTATTTATTTTTGTGTTAACTCATTTACAGTTAAACTTGGTATTGGGGGTTTTAGTATGGGTGCTGCAACTGCCCTCTACTCTGCAACTTGTTTTGCCCAGGGAAAATATGGAAATGGGATCACTTACCCTGTTAACTTGAGGGCTATTGTTGGTCTAAGTGGTTGGCTTCCTGGTTCAAGGTATGAATGCAATATTTTCCTTCTCATTTCCTCCTTGTTCCTCTGTTATATGTACTATTTTCCCATGCTGAAAATAACCAATTTACCAAATAAAATAAGATTCGTATGAGATGATTCTGAAATATCTCATTTGATAGCTCCCTCTGGCCATATTTGGAATTGTTTTCAAACTAATATTATATTGAGTTCCAAGGTAACCAAAATAGCTAATAAGTTTTGTACCGTGTTATCTCAGGTAGGACTCACTCATTGTTGATTCATAAATCTTTTTGCAAGTAAAGATGTAATGTGTGCACCTTATAGTGCTCTTCAAAATATTACCATGCTTATTAGTTAATGGCACGTTTATCCAGGACGTTGAGGAACAAGATAGAAGGATCACACGAGGCTGCAAGGCGTGCTGCATCTTTGCCTATTTTGCTCTGTCACGGAATCTGTATGTATATTGCATTTTGGACTCCCTTTTTTTTTTTAAAATAAGTTTTCTTGGGAATGATAAGTTCTTTTCTCACATGTTGTTCAACTTCATGCATATAGCTTCAAACTAGTGAGTACTAGCAAACTGTTGCTCTTAAAATTTGAGTCTTCAATTTGCTGTTTTTTTGGTTTTGGGACATCTACTGTAATTACCAGCTTGTTGTTCCAAATGACTGATAATTCATAGTTGGTAGAATTAGATACATGAAAATTTTATTCCTTGAGGATCCTTCTCAACCTCTCATTGGAAACCTACATGAGCATTAAAATCCCTTTAGCTTGTATTATTAGGTACGTTGCATATGTGATTTGTGAAGATGAGTTGCTAAGAAGCACGGACACTTCTAAGAAGGTAACGTATCCGTGTCGGATGCCGACACTCTTTGGACACGTGTCCGACACTCTTCAAAACGTGTCCTAATTTTTAAATTTCTTTTAAAGACTCGGACACCCTTTGGACACTTGGAAGACGCACATGTCCATCACATAAACACATGTGTTTATCGATTGGATACATATGAAACTAATTATAAGTTTAAACAAAATAACTTAAGATAAAATAATAAAACAAAAATCATATAAATTTATAAGAATTAGTGTCATATTGCATTTTTATTATCTTTGAATGATATATTAATATATATAACATATAATAAATATATAAAATTACATATTTCACGCGTGTCCCCCACGTGTCGTATCCGTGTCGTGTCACGTGTCCGTGTCCATGTCTATGCTTCTTAGATGAGTTGAATCAAATATCCCATCAAGCATTAGTCTTGCAAGATCACCAAGCTAGCTGAGATCAACTAATTTTGCAAGAGAATTTTGACTGCTGTCCTTAGGATTTCATGGGATGTCCATGTTTATATTATCACGGAATTGAATAAGTGTTCCATGTTTATAATATACGAGGGCACATAAAAAGACGTGCCACACAATGTCGTAGTTAACAATTCTACCATATTATTTGCCTTCTGCAGGTGATGATGTGGTGGCTCATAAATTTGGAGAGAACTCCGCACAGTACTTGAGTTTAGCAGGATTTCGATATCTTACATTCAAATCCTATGACGGGTATCAATCTGACCGGCCATTTTGTTAGGAAGCATTCATTAACTCTAATATACTATCAAGATCACAAGGCAGTGTTCTGAATCATTGTTTTGATTTGTGCAGGCTTGGTCATTACACGGTCCCTAAAGAGATGGATGAAGTCTGCAATTGGCTACACGGGAGGCTTGGGCTTGAGGGATCGCGCTGATGATATCATAGCACACAGAATTTCATTTTTCTAGTTTTGACTAGTACGGCTGAAGAATGAGAAAGGAAATAACAGTATTTAAAAGGCATATACATATTGATTTAGAGGGTGCAAGGTATATGGTATAGGTAATCTAATTCCCGTTTTGTCATCTCACCGGTCTTACAATAAGTCTTGGATATGTTGCTTTTCCTTTGGCTCCTAGACACCTATATTGGTGATGTTCTAGTCGAATTCTACTACTTAAGTTAATTAAGAGCATTTTGTATTTTGTATTTGTTTTTCCCGGTAATAATCAATTTAGAGGGCTATGGTCTTTTGTGTATCTAGATCTCTCTCTCTCTCTCTCTCTCTCTCTCTCTCTCTCGTGTGTGTGATGTTACTTAGGATCCATGAATGGGAACATCAATTTGAGCTTCTGGTAGTTGAATACATTTTAATTTTAATCAGAGGGTGACAGTTATTTTATACAATTTCAAAGACGAATTTGTAGAGGCTTATGAAAATAAAAGTTTTTGAGTGAGGGAATTGGTTGTTACATTCTACTTCTTTATTGGAGGCAAGTAATAGAACTTAAATTTCTATGCATTTCTTGGTATTGTACAAACTGGTATGTTACAGAAATTTCTTGTCTCTCTCCATATATATACAACCAAACCAAGCCTTAAGTCTCATCAAATGGGATCGGCTATATGAATTCTTCTTCTCTACGCAACTTTATCAAATGTCATTTCGTTAGTCAAATTAAGTAGATCTATATCTCTATTTACAACGCTAGCCAATGTTAATCTAGGCCTACCCGGTCCCCTAACACTTCATCTACCGTTACTGCATCGCATTTTTTCACTACTGCCTCTATTAGTCTTGGTTGAATATGACCAAACCATCTCAATCGATTCTCTCTCAACTTATCTTCTATCGGTGCTGCTCCTACCCATTCCTGAATACGCTCATTCCTAATTTTGTCTGGTCTAGTCTTGCCACACATCCACCTTAACATCCTCATCTCAGTCACACTCACCTTATCTACATGTTGTTTCTTGGTTGACCAACACTCTATCCCATACATCGCTGGTCTAATAGCCATTCTATAGAACTTACCTTTTAGTCTAATGGGTATTCGTTTATCACACAGTACCCCAGACGCACTTTTCTACTTACACCATCTCGTCTTAATCCTATGGGCCACATCCATATCAATCTCCCCCGCCGTTGTGGTAATCGACCCTAAATAACAAAAATGTTCACTCTTAGGCAGTTCTTGGTTCTCAATCTTTACTTCTCTTCTGCTTTCATTGTTACTGTTACTAAATTTACACTCTATGTACTCTGTCTTAGTTCTGCTTATCCAGAACCCTTTAGATTCAAGTGTTTTTCTCCAAATCTCTAACTTTGTGTTAACTCCTCCTCTAGTCTCATCCACTAGCACGATATCATCTGCAAAAAAAGCATACACCATGGCACGTCATCCTAAATATTTCTCGTCAACTTATCCATAACTAAAGCAAAAAGACAAGGACTTAAAGTAGATCTTTGGTGTAACCCTACAATGATATGAAATTCATTTGTCTCTTTAGCAGACGATCTAATAGTAGTCACCATCCCTTCATACATGTCCCTAATCACATCAATGTAACCTTTTGTCACCATTTTCTTCTCTAACACCCACCATATTATATCCCGAGGCACTCCATTATATACTTTCTCAAGGTCGATAAACACCATATGAATGTCTCTTTTCTTTTCTCTATATTTTTCTATTACTCTCCTTAAAAGATAGATCGCTTCCATTGTTAACCTGCCAGACATAAACTCAAATTGATTGTCTGACACCTCTATTATATCTCGCAATCAGCATTCCATCACATTCTCTCACACTTTCATTATATGACACATTAGCTTGATTTTTCTATAGTTGTTGCAATTCTGGACATCTCCTTTATTTTTATAGATTGGCACTAAAATACTCTTCCTCTACTCATTTGGCATGTTACTAATCAACAAAATTTTGCTAAACAACCTAGCCAACCAAGCAATCCCACTTTTACCCAAACGCTCCCAAGCTTCAATAGGGATATCATTGGGTCCTAAAGCCTTATTTGATTTCATCTTCTTAAGTGCAATCTCCATTTCAAAGTTCCTAATTCTGGGATGAAACCTATAGTCTTGGTTTATCGTATTACTGGCTATTCTTCCCCTATTAACATGCCTCCATGTTCCTCATTTAATAGTTTCTTAAAATAGTTTTTCCATCTCTCTTTAATCTCTTCAGCCTTCACCAATACCTTAGAATCCTCACTCTTAATGTACTTAACTTGATTAAAATCTCTTGGTTTCCTCTTCTGTATCTTAGCAAGTTTGTATACCCTCTTCTCTTCCTCCTTACTATCTAATCTAGTGTATAGGTTATCATAAGCTTTCAACTTAGCCTCTCTCACTACTTTCTTGACCTCCTTATTAGTCAATTTATAGCTCTTAAGGTTTTTCTCAGTTCTATCCTTTTGCCACTTTTTAAAGTACTCTTTTTTTGCCTTAACTACTGATTGAACCTCTTCCTTCTACCATCAAGTTTCCTTAGAGTTGGGTCATGTTCTTTTCAACCCTCCAACCACTTCCTTTGAGATTCTCCTCATACAATTGGCCATCAAGTTTCACATATTGTTAGTATTATCTTCCAAGTCCCAAGTACATTCCTTATCCATTATATTTTTAAATATTTCTAGTTTATCCCCTTTTAAGTCCCACCATCTCGTCCTACGACGCCCACTATCCTTCCTAGCTTGGTATTGCCCTTTAAAACATAAATCTAGTACCAAATTCTTATGTTGAGAGGCCAGGCTCTCTCTAGGAATCACCTTACAATCATTGCATTTTAGGTGGTCAACTTTTTTTTGCTAAGAAGTAATTTATTAGGCTTTTAACTGACCGGCTCTTAAAGGTTATCAAATGCTCCTCCATCTTCTTATATATAGTATTAGCCACCACCAAGTCAGAAGTCAACGCAAAATCTAAGATACTCTCTCCAGCCTTATTTCTGTCACTAAAATCATATCCACCATGCACCCTTTCATAGCCTAGTTTATCTATGCCTGCATGGCCATTAAAATCTCCACTTATAACTAGGTTCTCTCCTGCAGGTATCTCTTGTAAGATCTCATCCATTTGCTCCCAAAAATCCCTCTTAGTCTGATCATCTAATCCTACTTGAGGGGCGTATGCACTAATAACGTTCACTATATTCCCTCAAATAACTAATTTAACTAACATAATCCTATCCCCTTTTCTTAATGACCGCCACTATATTTTTCACAAGACCCTTGGCAACAATGATTCCTACCCCATTCTTGCGTCTATTCTTACCACTATAATACAGTTTAAAACTGGTATCCTCAATTTCTCTAGCTTTCTCACATGTCCACTTCGTTTCTTATACACAAGTTATACTAACTCTCCTCCTAATCATAACATCTACCAATTCCATCATCTTATTAGTTAAGGTTCCTACATTCCAAGTGGCTACCCTAAATCTATAGTCTTGGACTAGCTTCTTTACCCGCGCTCGTCCAGAAAAATACGAGAACCTTTGTCCATTTTTCACCACACTCAAGAATCGATACGGTGTCCTTTGCTCACTTTTTGAAACACCCAGAGACGGACGCAACGCGCCACTTGAGGAGAACGACCTAGTATTTAAATGATTCAAAGTAGGATTCATTGTCATAAGGGATCTGAGCGACCTTTTTACGTATTAGCTGTCGACTACCTAACACACAATCCTCCTTCTTTAGTTGGGCTTGGGATTGACGGAGTTGTTAACAATGCCGACGGAGTTTCTCTCTCCATATATATAATTCAAATAATTGAGATTACATCTTTAAGTTGTGATTTTGTCTTAGAATTGGCCAAATGCCAACATCATAACTTTGTTAGAACAACAAAGTTGAAATTGCAAATTGAACATGTGATTGGACAAAATTAGAAATCGCAAGTATAGCTTGCAATTTTACCTCAAAGTTAAATCCATCCAACTATTTATAACAGAAATATAATTGGTGGTTGAATTTGGATTTCATCTTTGGAAAATCGCAAGTTCAACCTACAATTTTAATTTCGTCCCATTGGCTAAGTTGTCAAAATGACAATTGACCAATCCAGCATAAAATCACAACTTAAAGAAGTAATTTTAAATGAAATTGTAATTTATGACCCAAGTTGTGATTCCAAAAATGTGATGTATTTTTGAGAAATAATTTCAAAAGTGCATTTATTTATTTATTTATTTATAATAAGTAGTTGATGAAAACAATATTGCAATACCCAATGGGCCCGTTTATTTTTAGAGTTAGGTTGGGTGTGATTGTTAGTGAGAAGATTATTAGTGTGACGATTATTAGTAAGGAAATTAAAAAAAAAAATTGTGTTTTTTTTATGACTATCGGACTAGTAAAAATTCATGTTTGTTTTGTTATTTTATGATGAGATTAATTATATGAAATTCCATAAATACTCTTGATTTTTTGACATATTTTAATATTAAAAATTATATTTTGGTACTATATTATTTTATGTTGATATATATATATATATATTGGCATATACATTTTTATACTATTTGATTTTAATATTAAAAATTATTTTTATATTAAATTATTTTTATAAAATGAGGGACAAAACAATAATTTCAGCTCTAATCTAATGGGATTGGATTTGAATACCATCTCCTACATGAAATTGCTAACCCCCTCATTAGAGGGTATTTTTAATCCCATAGTTCCATGACCATTTCTACAAACAAATATGATTAAGTTTTCGTTTGGCAAGTGGCTATTTTAGTCTAAAAATCAAAAAGCTACTAAAAAAATTAAAAAGCTAACAACTTATACCAAAAAGTCAAAGATTCCCTTTTTCTCTCTAGTTTTTGCACATCTTTTTTATAAAAAGTGAAAAAGTCATTCCAAACATACTAGTTTTTTTAACCTCATATTTTAATTAAAAAGCTAAAAAGTTACTAAAATAGCATGTTCCCAAAGTCTCCCCCATCCCTTTCTCCACAAATGCCACTAAGGAAACTGTTAAGACGAAGAAAGTACTTAGCAATAAAAGGGTGTGTGGCATTGTGGTTAAGGCTTGGGGTTTAAGCCCCAATGTCACAAGTTCAATTCCATCCCCCTTGGGCCAATCTCCTGGGCGAAGCACAGTTGGTTAGGAGGTTGGACCTCAAGTTGTCTAATCAGCACTTGGTGTGGGTTCAATGCTCTCTCGCTGTGCGAGTCCTGACTTAAGCGGAGCTTGTCTTGGGAGGTCGTTGGACCTCAAGTTGTCTAA